GAAGCTGGAGCAGGGTCATGTAACAAGCCCCCTCCCTGAGCCCTGAGGCATGGTGTGTGGGGGTGCTTTGGGACAGGTTATTCTCCATGGGAAGGGTGTTGGGCAAGCTGGGGGTTGTAGGTGTTGGCAGGTCTTGTTGGGAGAATGGAAGGAACTCCTGCTCGTAGTGCTTCTCATGGGTGAACCACTGAACATTGATGGAACTGTTGTTACACTCCGGAAACAAGCCCCCTCCCTGAGCCCTGAGGCATGGTGTGTGGGGGTGCTTTGGGACAGGTTATTCTCCATGGGAAGGGTGTTGGGCAAGCTGGGGGTTGTAGGTGTTGGCAGGTCTTGTTGGGAGAATGGAAGGAACTCCTGCTCGTAGTGCTTCTCATGGGTGAACCACTGAACATTGATGGAACTGTTGTTACACTCCGGAGCGAACACTCTGGACCAGGAGATGCTCAAACACAGCCCCTTCTGCACAGACCAAGTGAAGAGTGAGACTGAAAATGAACCACCTCCAACTTGCTAAGGCTGTACAGAGACCCATAATGGTCACTGCTTACCAGACCTGCTTGTACAGGAACATCATCCAACCCCCAGTTTACAAGTTCTGCTCCCAGGCAGCACTGTGCAAACCCTGGCCGGGGCCTCAGAGCAGCCATGGCTCTCCTGTAGGCTGCCAGCCTGGTGGCCCCTTTCCAATATGCTGTGAAATGATACCAAGTGCTGTGATGCTGCGGAGCAGCTCGAGCTGTTCTGTATCACCCTCAGCTCAGGCAAACCTCGTGCTGAGACAGTTCTGCCTGGAGAGCGAGGGTTAATAACCCCTGCCCAAAGCAGGCACCTTTCCAGAGGGCTCTGTGGTGAGGTCTCTAGAATTTGTTCACAATTCCTCAAACTTGGAGCTATTTTTTGTGCATTCAGTTTGGAGTTTCTCAGCTCCTGTCTCTATTCGCAGCTGCACAAAAACTTAGAAGCACGCAGTGGCTGCGGCTCCTCACCAGCGTGTCCCGGGGTGAGAGTGGCACCCACTTGCTTGGGTGACTTGTCCATGTTGTCACAAGGGGTCTGCTCCTTTGCAGACCCAGGCAAACTGCCTGTCAGCTTTGCCAGTTTGTCATCACTGGGCCTGCAAGCCGTACGGTGATGCTTTCAGGCAAGTCCAGGGTCTTGCTTCCCAGATCTGGGAGGGGGGGTGCTTCACCGTGGTGCCATTAAATCTGTGCCTTGTGATGCTATAAAGCAGGTGTGGCATTCCCATGGCTCAGGAGCAAAAGTTCACAAAAAATGCATTTTCTGGACTTGCTAGGATCCTTTGATAGACTCAAAAACCCCGTCAGGCTCCTTGTCCTCTGCAAAGCTACAGGTCTTTTGTTGCAAATAGACCTTTTGGAAAGCAATGGACTCAGCTCCCTGACGCAACCTGTGCGTAACGTGCCTGTGCTCCCCGTCTGCCCCCTGTGACCCTCCAGCAAAGGGACCACCCCTTGCAGATGTGTCCAGCACCCAACATGGTGGGAGCGAGCGGGCTGCTGCAGCTGAAATATCAGACGGCAGTGCTGAACCATATGTGCACGCTGCGTGTCAGCTAGGGAGGCTGCGCAAAACGCGTAAACCGCTGCCAGGGATGATAAAGTACCTTTCACTGCCGATCCATTTCTTCTGTATTTACAGGCATTTGTACACTAGCTATTTTTAGATTAGTTGTCACTGGTATACAAGGGAAATGGTGTGGTGTTCTTCAGGTGCGTGAGAAAAGGCTTTTTCCAGGGATCACATTCAGCTACTGGATCAGCTAAGTGAGGTCAGAAATCTGCTATGACGGCGAAGGTGTGGCAGATGGGGCAAAATTGCTGACAAACGACAGGAAAGGGGAGAGGTTTGTAACCTGTGGCAAAGCTGCTTCCAGACCTTGGAATGCAGAACTCTGTAGAATAGAAGATATTACAGGATTTAAAGATTCCCTTTTGCAGAGCACCTGAAGTTAACACTTGGGTGTTTACTTCATTGCAAAATGAGCGCACGCTGTTTCCTTTTATGATTGGGTGGCATTTTACAGTCACTTTGCACTGAATAAATAAAGCTGAAGGTGCTGGATAATTAATTAAAAAAAAAAAAAAATCTAGCTGACTATGTTGAACGTGGTGAGAACCTGTGCCTGAAGAAAATCAACGGACTCTGAGGACTTTGGTTGCCTGCCAACATCTTTTACCCACAAAAGCAAAGAATGGGAAGGAAGTAGCGGGAATGAATCTTGCTCAGTGTAATCCAAGATTACAGTCTTTCTCATTCATAAATCAGCAAAACGCTGTTGCTGTCTCACGGGCTGGTTTCATTTGTTTGTCTTGGGGCGCTGTAGGTGTGCTGTGTCCTAGAGATGTGGGGAGAGTGAGCCAAAGTTGATGCAGAAGGCCTTTTTTTTTTTTTCTTCCCCAGCTCCAGCACAGTTTCCTGTGTTCAGGTTTAGCCTGTCACAAAGCTGCTTGGCTGGAACACAGATCTGTCTGACAGCTGTGCCCATCAGCAGACAACTTCATTAAACCTCATTAAGATGTCATTTCTCTGCCTTATTTCCCACCTCTTGGCTCTAATTAAAACCATCTCTCTCTGCATCCCAGGCGGTCCTAATTTTCTCTGGGTACCTTCTGCAAGTTTTCTCCCTTTACGACCTCAGTGAGGAAAATCTGGCATCTTAAATACTGTTTATCTAGCCCGTTTGGAAAAGGCAAGTCTAGACTTCTTCCTGAGCATTCCCAGAGCATCCTGCAGAGATCATCACCTCCTCCTAGGGCTGAGATGTGTGCAGAGGCTTTGTTTGCTCTCTCTGTCTTTAAGGACTCACCTAATGCATCCTTTCCCTATGGACATGATAATTTTCAGTGTTGAACTAGGAGTGTCTGTCCTGGGTTTGGAGGGTGCCACGCTCGGGCTGGCCTCGCCGCTGTGCTCAGTGGGGACAGCCTGGTTGGCTGAAGAGCGAGTGGTGTTGGGTGTATCGAGCTTCCTGGCCTTTGCTGGCTGGTTTCTGATTTGTGCAGCCCTGGATTTGTATTTAAGCGTCTGATGGTGTTCAGAAATGTTTGCTGCAAAGGAAGAGGGAGGCTTGGAGATGGGTCTGTTTGTAAGAGGTGGGTGCGTTACAAAGATGGAAGGAAGTACAAAACCTTTAAGGATTCCAGGTTTTGTGGCAAGGCTCACTGTGTTTTCAGCCCCTGGTATTTATGGCCCATCGACACACACTGCATCAGTTTTTCAAGACGACTGAGAGAGCAGGAGGAGTAGGGGACCAGACTGTGCAGGAGGCACAGTGAGACATGGGTTTTTAATCCCTGCACCTACAGCAGCCCTCGCTGGGAGGAGATGCTGGGCAAAGCCATGAATCCTCTCTGCTCCGAGTCAGCCGGGGCTGCCCTGTCCCTGCCTCGACAGCTCTGCCCTGCGGACACCTGCGAACCCCACGCCGGTGTATTTTCAGCCCACCGAGCCCTGCGTCCTTCCCTGCCTTCTGTTCCCCTTTTCATTACACCCCCTTGTACAGTAAAGCCTCCCGTCATGCTGCCATTACTATTATTATTGCAGATTTACTGCGCTTGCCGAGCGAAGTGATTGCGGTGACAAGGCCCAGCATTTTTCCCTCCTTCCCCCCGCGACAGCTTGAAATCAAGCCCTTCATTTGCATTTACATGATCTTGCTGTGCAGCTTATGAGATCGGGAGATTTATTTGCTACTTAGCTTGATGTTTGATTACACTCTAAGAAGGCAGTGAGCTACAAAGTGCAGGGATACATCAGAACGGAGCTACTGAAAGCCTCTGGGGGACAGTAACTCAACATCAGGTTTAGGTAGATGAGAAAGGGAATGTTCAGTGTTTTGAGAAAAGCAAATTTGATCAGAATCTTTTTTTTTTAAAGGTGGAGGGAAAAACTTACTTTCCCTCTCTCATAAAAATGGTTGGGAAAATGAGAATGTCGTCAAAAAAACACCTGAAAATCTGGGTCTGTTAGTGCAGAAGAAATCCTGGCAGGGGCTGGTGGTTGCATGCCGCTGGCTGCTTGTGGCTTCCGCTCCCAAGAAGATTATTAATAATAAGTTGGCAGTTATCTTCGAAGCTTTTCATAAACATTAAATGTCAAAGTCAAAGGAAGTTTTGCTAGATGAAGGACCACAAAATCTAGCACTAATTTATTAAGCTTAAAAGCCTGTCACTGGGCATTAATCTTCCTGTATTAGTGGGGAAACTGAGGCAGGGAATTAATGTGGCCATGCAAGACAGCAAAGGG